CCCCACCCCCTCTGCTTCCTGGATCCGGCCTTGCTCTCCCACCACAAGCTGGGAGTAGCACTTCACCAACACTGCAGGCGTGTGGATTTCTTCCTCCACCGTTGCCAGCTGGCTTGTTTGGGTTCGGGTTGAACCAGGACAAAGGGAGCAGGAAGCAGGCAATAGAACCTTGTCGGCCGATGAAGCCTCTGTATTGGACGAGAATTCAACTGCACAGTAAAAGGTAACGTGAACAGGGACTCATCTTTGCATAATATTGTCAATACGAGGGAAGCATTTTCCTTTAAAACTCTGGAGAAAAATGAGTAAAAATAAAACAAATAAAAGTAAAACTTGCCTGTAGACGATTACATCAATATTTAGTGAAGCAATTTTAGACTCTTTTCCAGAAGTATCAAAGGAATAAAACAAATGACGAATCGATATACACATTTCTGTCTGTATAGTTTTTGATTGATTTTTATAGATAAAGGGATATATTTTTTTAGCATACATGCTGTGTTGCCTCATTGCAGAACCTCACCCTGATAAATAGCTTATAAAAATAAATCAAATCCATAGACAGACTGACTTTTTTTTTTTTTTTTTTTTTTCCCATGGCTCACGGGCCCAGCCGCTCTGCGGCACGTGTGATCCTCCCGGACCGGGGCACGAACCCATGTCCCCTGCATCGGCAGGTGGACTCTCAACCACTGCACCACCAGGGAAGCCCCAGACTGACTCCTGAGTGAGGATGTTTCATACTTTTGAAGGCATGGTCTTGTTTTACTATTCAGAAATTTGCTACACAAAAATACACACATCCACACCCCATGTGTGAAATGACTTAGTTCTGAGCATTTCATGGCACTTTTGTAGATGATATGCAACACTGTGAGGTCATAAAATCACAAACTTATATGATTTTTATAAAATATGTGATATTTGTAAAAGAATGCCTCCCAGCAGGTACGCTGTTGGTGTATTACTTATCCATGGATGGTCCATAACCTGGTTCCCCGACCCCTGGGATGGTACTGGGACATGGCTGTGGAATGCACCAGTGGGAGAAAAAACATGCCCTTAAATTTCACTGGACTTCCTTGTCCCAAGTTCTCGTGACTCTTTAAATTTGTGTGTGTGTGTGTATGTGTGTGTGTATGTGATGTGGCACAGATTTAGAATAGGATATTTACCAGGTTCATTTTCATTTCTTATATTAATTTTCTCTTCACTGAGTCATAGTGGGAGAGGAACCTATCTATTTTGACTATTTCTGACTTTGCAGCTCATTCTCTGAGTAATTTGATGGGTCACTTCTATGTGCCGAGACATCATTTCCAAATGTGCCCCACACTCATTTCATCCATATGCAGTATATGAAGTTCTTTTTGTCTTGCTTTTTTTGAATGGATCTCCCCTTCTTAGGTGGCACTACATGACTCCACAGTCACTGAAGAGTCAGGAGACATGCAGTGATGGGCAGCGGTGGGGAGACGAAGGTGCCTCTGTGGGCATGAAGTGATTTATTTTCAACCCACAAATAACCCAAGCTGATGGGTCAGGTTGGGTTTGTGAGATATCAGACATTTCCTGCCTTGAGAGCCATACAGAGATGGGCTCTTCTTTTATGTTTTTATATGGCGACTTGATGACTGAGAATTCCTGGAAATGATTCTTTCCAGGCAAATGTCTCATTCTGTATTGATGCTGTTTCTCATCACGTTGATTAAGCAAATGGTGATTGTACAGAAAAGAGCATCTTCCCCCCGATCTCCCTCCATCCTCCGCTGCCTGCTGTCCTATCCCTGCTCCTCTGACGCCTCTGTCCTCTCTGTCCCCATCTGTCGCTGCTCACTGTAATGTCCTGCAGTTTGGTTTGAATGCTCTCTCATGGGTCTTTTGCTTAACTTTAGAGACTCCAGTGCTTCACTTATTTGGGAAAAAATTGAAGAGCCATCCATAGATTGTCATGAATTTGAAGAATTATTTTCTAAAACTACTGTAAAGGAAAGGAAGAAACCAATTTCTGATACCATCACAAAGACCAAGGCTAAACAAGTGAGTACTCATGTGTTTTCTGAAGTTGGACAGTGTTTTGGGCATAAGTGTGAACTTTCATTAGAGAAAAACATTCACATTGTTTTCTGGGCTGTGTACCCTCCACAGTCTGTAAGCAGGTAGCAGAGGTTAGCATTTTAGAACATGAAGTTAAGTGAGACTTTCCCAGATAGAACAACAAATAATCATCTCCACCAAGTGATCATGTTCTGACTACTTTATTCGTAGCTTCATGATACATATTTCCAGAATTTCACCAATTGCTTGTTTCCAGAATTAGTTGTCTAGAAACAAACTGTCACTTGATTGAAATCCATATTAGTGCTAGTATGGATGGAAAGAAAGGTAAGAGTGAGCAAATGAAAGCAAGCAAGAAATCCAGTCCTTAGTAACCAGTCATGTGTTTTGTATTTTGTTGCTATTGTAATACCTGAGTGGATGCCCTGCAGAACCCAGCTAAACAGTCACCTTGCACTTGACACAGGGAAGAGACTCTTGTATCCAGTTCCAACATCTCCATTCTGTGTCAGCACTTTTGATCTATCCTGTGACACCTGAGTCCCAAAGATAAGGAAAAGTGCATTTGGAGGAAAACATTTTCATGCAATGTTTTTCCACTGATCCAGCCAGTGGCCTTGATTATGAAATGATTTTGTAAATTTCTCAAGGCAGCCATTCAGGAAAGTGTAGTAAAGTCTTAGAACAATGAGCCCAGAAGGAAGGTAATGCTGTTGGTGCCCATCCTTCACCCTGAAGCGGGGGATGGTGGGCAGCTCCGTCTTTTTGGGTGAAACAAATAGAGAGAAATGAGGCCTGAAGCTGGCACAGCTTCCCCAGGCGAGTGGCAACTAAGGGGTGATGTGATTCTGTGAACTTTTGCTACTGACCTGGAAGTTGTAGCTAGAAGTCTGACCCAGAGATATTTCCATCCATATTTATTTCGAAGCAGACAGCTGCCCCCAGATGGGTGCTGCGGAATCCAGCCAGGAGGGGTGGGTTTGAACGGAACCTCTAGCTGAGCTGGGGGCAGCCCCACCACAGGCATCTGTATTAATCTGACGATGATGCAAACCCAAATGTGATGCAGTTGCATTTTTTAGAACCATTTATGATGACACAGCTGGTTGCTGGTGACTTTAGATCAGAAAAGGCACTGAATAAATATTTAACAAATAAGCCAGCTGGCTGGAGGAGGAGGGCTTTATACATATCAGTGACTATACCCAGTAGTGATTAAAAGCCAGAAAATAGCTCATCTCAAAATAAGCAATATCGCCAAGGTGGCTTTGTCAATGGAATAAAGGTAAATGGAAAACCACGTTTTTCTTGCAGAGGTAAATGTTCTAAACGGCATGTTTGCATATAGTACATGTAGGCTGAGTCATCACACCTCTTCCCATGGACCGTATCAGAAATGGAAAAGCTGTCTGGGTGGGGAATATGGGCAGGGAGTGTGGAGGTTGGGTACAGCTAGGCAGCGGGGTTGTCACATGATGAAGGGCAGAGGTGATGCGGACGTCACTAGTCTAGGGATGAAATTCTCCAAAATGCCAAGCACGTCCTCCATATCTCCTGTCACCACTTTTTTTCTGTTAAATGAACAGAGATGAGGAAGCTGCCGCATGTTACCTGCAAGTATACGATTTCATGAGTTTTTTGATGTAGTATTCAGTTTTTAAGCCTACTGAAATAAGATTTCTGTACAAATCGTGAAGATTTCAGATTCAGGTAGCTGGCATGAGATGGCCCCCTTCCACACAACCATCATGTGCAGCGTCATGTCTGCACAGTGGCCTCACCCTGTCGTGAGCCCATCAGTAAACTGTGGGTACGAGCCTTTGCCAGTGCTGTCATTTGCACCCGTTGGTGGTGACACAGCTATTGACCTGCAGCTTAAAGAGGGTTTGTGGACCAGTCTCCATCCTGACTCCTGATGAGCTTGTCAGCATATCCTTGGCCAGGGTCTTGTACTCAGTTCTGCTATTCAGGTTTGTTTTGGGAGAGATAAAGTAATTTTTCCAGTATGTTGGTAAGAGAAAAATCTGCTACAAAGTGTTAGATGGCTGAATAAAGCCAGTTTTATTTAACTCTGTTGTATTTGGAAGAAAAAATTACCTATTCCAACTACTTGAGACATGTAAAATTTCATTTAAGGAAAACATATTTTCCATATGCATGCAAGCACACTGAGCTCTGAGCAACACGGACTTGGGGCACCAACTTTTGCGCAGTCCAAGATGTCTGTACAAATTATAATCAGCCTTTTGTATTCGGGCTCCCACCATATCCGAGGTTCCACATCCGTGGACAAAACCACCCTCAGCTCGTGTAGTGCTGCAGTATTTACTACTGAAAAGACTCTGTGTGTCAGCGGACCTGCACAGTCCAAACCACTGACCTGTGGTTGCCCTTGTATAGGTGGACCCTGATTTCCAGTGAGACTGATAGCCATTGATGCTGTGGTTGCCCTTGTTATATGTAGACACTGATTTCGAGTGAGACTGGTTGCCGTTGATGCTATAGCCTGTGTTTATGGAGGTTTTTCTAGCCACTCTTCTCACACACAGTGGAAGCCAAGAGCTCTGGTTTCTCCAAATACTTTAAAAGAGCTAGATAATACTTCTGTGATCTGTCCTCTTCTTGAAAATAAGTCTGCGGCTGGATGCACTGGCCTTTAGTAGCTCTCTCGGGAGATATGTCTTCTGTGTGACCACAGAGGTCCCACACCTGGACAGCTTGCTCTGTGGCATAAAGAGAAGGGGCTGCTCTCTGGACTCTGGAGTGGCTGCAGTGAGGCATGTTTGGTGTCTCTCAGACCTTTGTCCTCCAGGGAACCCAACACAGAGCTTTCCTTATTTTTTCATGGAACCTGTATTTAAGTTGTGTGCCTACGTCTTAGCACACCGGTCTTCATTGTGAGGTTATGAAAGCATAAGGAGATTCGCTAAGAAGGTATAGTTTTATCAGACTATGATTTCATATAGTTCTCCTTTAGCAAATGAGCGTGATGCTTATAGGTCAGAATTAAATATCGAGCTGCTCACTCGGTGAAACAACAACCGTGTCGCCCACGGAATCAAGAGGAAGATGAGGTCCCTGTTTGAAACATGACACACACACACACACTTGCCAATTTTTAAGGAACGTCCCAGAGCGAGTACGTGGTGACCCATGTCCTGCGTCTCACAGGCGAGTTCAGTGCCTGTTAATGTTGAGAGTGACCCTAAGTCACCTCAGGATCTTCGTGTCCAAGGAAAGATTAAATTAACCCAAGCTTATGAGCAGGGAAGTGGGAGAATTTACACTGGAGTGATCTTGACAGTAGGAATTCCCTGACAAAGAGGTTTCTAGTTAATCCAGTGTCAGATGAGGTCCGAGCAGAGATACTTTGGGAAACAGGAGTAGCAGCAGCAGCTTCAGCAGTAGTACTAGTACCAGCAGGGATCATGGCAGCAGCCCCGGCCGCCGTGGAGCCTGCAGGTGCGTGGTCCTTGTCTGCGCAGCCCCACGCTGGCTCATTCCACCCCCTAATCCTGTGAGGGAGACCCCATATCCCTGGTGCACAGCACACAAAGCTGAGACCTCACGCTCCCAGCACAGTGAGGGGCGGAGCTCGGGTGCAGACCCAGCCGTCCGGCTGCAGAGCCTGTGTTCCTCATCATTAGCCATAGGTGTGGATGTGAAATATTATAGATGAGGGCAAGTGTGGGATGGGATTTATAAGGAGACTAGAATAGATCCTTTCTGAAAAGAATCTGAATTTGTACTGATTTTCATATGTGTTCCATATTCAAATGACTAGTTACGTTTATAAAATTGTGTGTGGAGATACTTTTAAAGCCTTTTCTGTATTCTAACAGATTTTGATAAGTACATAAACTATGATACCACCAAATATGGCATTTGCCCAATTAAATAAAATTTATCAGAGTGATGTGAGCCTTAGACACATAAGCTTTTGTAAGCAGTAAAAATGAGGGCCTTTTGCTTGTGTGGCAAATAAATAGTGGGTGGAGGTACAGCCATTGTGGTTAAACCCACCAGATGTTGAGTGGAGATAGTTTTGATTCCACCAAAAGGGACGTTTCTGTAAAATATGCCTTAAGTCAAAAATGTCTAATAATCCTTAAAAGGTGTGTAAAGGAACATGCTTCCCACAATATAAATTTGCACACAGAACTTAACAAGAGTGAATGAAAAGAATCTGTTTTTTTTTTTTTTTTCCTGCGGTACGAGGGCTTCTCACCACTGTGGCCTCTCGCGTTGCGGAGCACAGGCTCCGGGCGTGCAGGCTCAGCGGCCATGGCTCACGGGCCCAGCCACTCTGCGGCATGCGGGATCCTCCCGGACTGGGACACGAACCCATGTCCCCTGCATCGGCAGGCGGACTCTCAACCACTGCGCCACCAGGGAAGCCCCAAAGAATCTGTTTTGCTTTTTAAGTACATAATTGCCATTTATATAACCATTTGTTGCAACAAATGAATTTCTTCCTGGGTTTCTTCTGTTCTATTTATCAGATTAAAATGCTCTGCCCAAAGAATGGGGGAGAGAAGGAATTCATGATAGTTAAATATTTGTTTGGCTTCAGCTTCTGGAAATATGATTAGAAAAATAGATAGTTAAATCTGCTACTTATTATTAGGGGAGTTAATAAAAGACATTTGGCATTTTGTTCGATCTTGCCACTGTGCTTTCTGACCTAACTTCTAAAAAGCCTTTTTTGTATTTTGTAAAACTTCATAATAACAATGGGAAAAGAAGCATTCATTACTTAAATGTTCCTGTGTGGGAGTGTGTTATGTAACGCCTCCAAGTATTCTTACGTGAAATAGTAATTGCCATTAAAACGATTTTTCCTACTATGTTGGGGTGCTGGGAAAACGTTTGAGCTGTACTTCAAATACTATTGTAAGATTGGTTGGTCAGAAAATAAGACAAGGGTATGTATTTTACCTGTGAATCTCTGCTTGACTTGTACCAAGCGCAAATATTTATCT